CCCCAAAACCCCAAAACCCCAAAACCCCAAAACCCCAAAGTTAAAATTTATTTTGAAAACATTTATGGCATATTGGAATAACTGAGGGCAGAATTTACCTGCCCAAGAGTCGGCTTTTCGTCCATCAGATTCGGAATTTGAGTCCCTGACAGAGCCACAGTACTTCAAAGCTAGAAAAATACTTGAAATAGGAAAGAATCAAAGTGAAAGTAAACAAAATGAGTGGCACACCGTCAATCTGGACTTGTACGATAGCTCGCAACATGATTATGACAATTCTCACTCAGAAGAGAAACCACCCTATGATGCTGGCCAACTGATGCATTATGAGGAACCTTATTGTCCAGTCAACCAGGCTGATCAACCAATGTATTATGGGGAGCCTTACTGCCCAGATAACCAAGGAGAAAGGGTTTCTCGACTTGCTTTAGCTCCAGTCATTTTCAAGGCGCCTACATTTGCGAAAATCCACACAAAATCTCTATCGAAGTTTACCCTTTTTGGGAAAATCGCAATGAAAATTAAGAGCCAGAAAGCCATCTTTGATTCGAAAATTTTTAAAGAAGGAATCTCGAAAGAAAATACCTGAAATCAGCTGATTTTATGCCAGATTGGTTGTTGTGTTAGAAAGACATGGATCATTGAGAACTGAGGAGAGAGTCGGTGGTCTACCAAAACCAAACTCCTGCCGCTCACCAAGGATATCGAGTTTCAGGCTCCAGAAATGACCGAGAAAGTTTATCCAGGAGAAAGAGCTAAAATTTCAGTTATTTTTAAAATTAACGAAGAAAATTATGACCAGTACGAAAATCGAGGGAATAAAATCATCGAGATCAAATTTAGCCTAGCTCATCCGGAGGAAGGATACTTTGGAGAACCCCTTAGAGCATATTGGTAAGTGATTAGTAGCTGGCATCATTTTTGCAACGCCATTATTCCATAAAATTAGGAATAGAGTTTGGAATACAAAATGATTTCCCTGACTTTTCTCTAATTTAACCCTGATTTAGTGAGATAGACCCAGTCCAATTCCATCAGAACCAAGCTTTACTGTCCCAACAGAGCTACGGGCTTGATAAATGCCCTGATGAAGATAGCACGGCTGTGTGGATGGACTAACATTTATTTTAAATTTGCGAAATGTAAGAATTCTTTACGATCTAAACAACTTTAAATCAAAGGGGTTTTGGGGTTTTGGGGTTTTGGGGTTTTGGGG